CATTTATTTTATTAGGGAGAACATTTAAAGCAACTGAAGTATGTGGCTGGCTCCCTGTGTGCCATTACAATCTTGTGTACACCTAAGTGCTGTAAATGAGGTATTCTTTAATCGCTAGTTGTTCTAGCGGTCAACATCTCTAGTCAAAATGCTGTGAACACTTTCCTTGTTAGGGCACGTCTGGACCCAAGTTACATACCTCTGACCACTTTAGTGTTTTTACGGTAGCTGTCCTTTTTACTTGAAGTGTGACCACAGCTTTTTTTTTTTTCCTCCCTGTGTATGAAGGAAGTCTCAGCCATTTCAAGTATCCAATATTTCAAAAGGAATAGACTGTCTTGGAGAGAGGAATATAAACCTGTAGGACCTTGCTGTAAAGGGGTGAGCTCTCGTAATTGTAGTAAGATCTCATTGCCACTGAACGTAGTGTAGCAGTTCAAAGAAACAAAGCAATTCAGTGTAAGTAAGACTTAATACTTCCTATGCAGCTACATATTAACTCCTAATGTTACAAAATGATACTTTTTTAAAAAAATCTTGATTTAAAAGTGATTTGTTATGGTATTTGAACTGATCTTCTGAGATGGCTGTTCCATTAAGTATCTTCTGGAGTTGACTAGCCAGCTGAAATGCTTATGTATGTGGTGGATGATCAAATTTTAAATGTACTTATGTAGCGCATGTAAGGTATTTAGAACTAGCTGGCATTGTTGTTAGCTAAACATGTGAAGAGAAATACATCCCTCAGTTAAGTTACTTTTAACAGCAAAACTTGTCACCAGTCTGTAGAAAGCTAATATTTTGAGCGGAAATAAAAAATATAATCAGGATATCACGCCTGTATATGTTAGGAGTTTTATTTATAGAACTGTGGACCACACCCTATCTGGAAGAAGCTGTCAAAAAAAGTATTTTTCCCTCAGCATTTTAACATTATTTTAATATTCTGTCTGTTGGGTGAAGGGTTCAGAGGAGGAAGACTCAGGAGAGCAACTTTAATCCCTAAAGGTTTTGACCCTGAGCGTGATTGCTCAGTATTGCAACGCAGTGTGTGAAGCTTGCTAGCTACTGTGCCATGAATCATTACTGTGTTCCAGAACAGGGAATTTTCTGGTTTCTACGCTGTCAAGACCCGCTTTCTTCTCTTTTAATGAACTCAGTTCTGCTTGTGATGCATTTTGTTATGATTTATTCCATAATGAGTCTTACAGAAATGCCTGTGTGTCATCATATTAAATGCTGGGCTTTCCTTTGTGTGCTTGCTCTCAGTTGTCACCGTGCCCCTTTCTTGTAGTGGGAGGGAAAGCAGTGGAGCACGTGTGAAGACGTGCAATGCGACAAAATCAGAAGCTCTACCTATAGGCATGTGGGCAGTTTCAAACCACAGTTCTGTTGTATTCCTTCTCTCCTTTGTGCTTATCATCTTTTCCCCCCACATCCTGCCTTTTTAGGGAAAAGGACTTATTTCAGGTCTAATTAACCAAGTTACCAAACCAGATTTTTTTTTTGAGGCTCTTGCTGTTTAACAACAGCTGAGTGTTTGACAGAACCTCATTATCCATTGCGTTTAATGCAGAGCATTGCAGAATGGCCCATTGAGCTTCATAAGGTCTTTAGAACATTCGGTCAGCTTGACTGTTAGTTTTACACAGAATTTTATTTAAAAAAAATACTAGGAAATTAGCACCCATTATGAAGAACAGGAAACTTGATTAACAACTCACTGTGAAGTATGTTGTGGTTAATTTCTGTGGCACTTTTGTGTGTGCTCACTGTAGAAAAAGACCTGATGTATTTCCTCTAGAGAAGCAAAATTTTTATTAATGTATTTATGTATGAGACATCTAACAATATTTAAGATAGAGATGTTTATTTTTGTACTTGCTGGCCTTGTGAAATGGTAGACTTCTGCATTCTTTTTATGTGGCTGATTTGTGCTTATGTCACATCTTGCTGAAATTTTCTCTGTGTTTAAATCTGAGCTCAAGTCTTGGAGCTGAATAGCATGCTTTGTGCTATTTCTCTGTTAATTACATTTTTTTTTTAAAGAAAACTCAAAAATATGAGGACTTTAGATTTGCTTATTTCTTTAAAACAGTGAATTTTCTAGATGAATTCTGATATTGATGAAGGACTTGAAATTTCTGATGTCTCTAGTGGAAGTATACACATTGTTATCTTCATGGGATACTTGCTGTATGCTTGAGTTGTGTGCAAACTGCTTTGGTTGTTGCTGTTATGTTTTTAAGTTCTGTAGTGTTGTCAAGCAAATAAAGTTGTTCTTTCTGTATTTTCAGATGACTGTAGCTTCTCCTCTGGAAGAAGTGGGCAAGGCCATTAAGAATAGGAAACAAGGGGTATAGCGACAAAGATGGATGAACAAGCCCTTTTAGGGCTAAACCCAAATGCTGATGCAGACTTCAGACAAAGGGTATGTGATGAACTTGCTTATCTCTTCAGTAACTGGAGATGCTGTTTCAAAAAACATTTGGTTTGTGGGGATTCTGGTGGCATGTAATAAATGCAAGTCACTTAGGAAGTATGTGTGTAAACTAAAGGACATATGTCACCATTTCTATGAAATTCCACTTAGCCTATATAAAATTAAATGGACTGCAACTTTCAGTCTTTTCAGTTCATTGTACTTGTTGCTTAACACCTCAAGTAGATTCTTCCAGAATGAAAAATATCCACTGAAAACAGAATTGCTTGCAGTTGTCCTATTAATTCTTAGTTGCTTTTCGCATTTGTCTACCTGCCATTAGTGTCTTTTAATGTAATAGGTATTTTTAACTATAATGAAGCTTGTATTAGCTAATATAAACCAATATTTTAGCTAATATAAGTAGTTTAAGAGGTAATCATCGTGTGTGAGTACTTGACAAAAAGGTAACAGGTGCTTGTATGAGAAGGCATTAAAATTTCACAGTGATTTAAAGAGGAACATTTTCTGTAGGCTGTTTTTGAAATTGATTTTGAGTGTCTACAGGATGACCTCCAGTAATATCTTTCAGAATCAATGCTAATATCCAAGAACATGGCTTGATACATCCTGGTGTTGAAAGGAGCTTGTTAAATATGTGTCCTTTGTGGGTACTTACCATGCTTGGAAGGATGGCTATAGTTAATTTTTAATGTTTTGTTAATAGAACGCCATTATCAAATTTGAAGTTTGCAGATTTATTGACCTTTTAACCATGCAGTATGTAAGCTTTTGAAATACTTTGTAGTAAAAGGTGACTTAATATTTCAATAGTGACTTAAGCTTTATTGCTTTTTTTTTTTACATAAGCTACCCCTTATTTTTTTTCTCCAATAAAACTGTTCAAAATAAGGAAATAACCAGTATTATCTCCAATAAGTGAATTCTTGTTTTAATAACTAATTCAAACTGTTGGGTAATTACTTTGTGAAACTGAAGAAGTACAAAATAAAGAAAAACGCGCAGTGTGGAAACAGAGATTTTTATAGAATTGAAATGAAGTCTTTAATCTACTCAATTCTACAAATTACTTAATGGCTATACAACAGGCCATGCTAAATCTTAAAGCAATTAGATCAAAGTAAATGTTAATAAAAGTTGTTTAGAAGGTCTGATGAAAGGCTTGAGTATCTAAAATTTGGCATAAACTTTTTTTTAAGTATCTTTTTCATAGATTCATAAGCTAGGCAATTACAGGTGATCAATGAAACACTGTATTTGAATGTTTCTTGAGCTTGAGAGACAGACTACAGCCACAGTTGTGCAGCAACAGTAGGAATTGGTTTTGGAGAAAAAATTAAATGTGTTTCTACTTAGAACTTGTGGAACAAATTTGAACTTGGACTTTAACTTCCACCCTTGGAGCTACTGGAAACCTAAGTAGGCAAGTCTGTGAGCAACTTCTTCTAGCTGTCCCTGCTTTGAGCTAGGAGATGGGACTAGACTGTCTCCAGAAGTCCATTCTAACTTGAACAACTGATTCTGTAAATTTTATATGAAAATAATCTTTAAATTTGAAGTAAAAGGGAAATGAGCACCTCTTCTAGTGTTAGCATTTGCAGGAATACTCTTGTAGTGTGGTAACGAAGGAGCTATATAAATACTTGGATATGTTCAAATACATGCTTCTTGAGGGAGGAGTGTTTAGATGCAAGTCTCGTGAGTGAGGCATCTTGCAGTGGAGTTTTTGTTTGCAAAGGGAGGTGTTTTTTATTCTTTTTAATGAAACATTTTTGGATGCTTGCAGGCACTCGCCTACTTTGAGCAGCTGAAGGTATCTCAGGATGCTTGGCAGGTCTGTGCAGAAGCATTAGCTCAAAGTATATACAGGTAATGTATCTAAGAATCATTGCTTATTTTCATTAGCACCATGTTTGTGTCAGCTTGTTTTTAGCTCTACAGCCTAATAACTGGGCAAACAGTGAGCTAGGTAATTGGGAAGCTGTACATTAAAATGTATTTAATATATGCAATTTTAGTCTTGCCATTGGTCTCTAAGTTGTGTGTAATGTCTTTCAGGGAAGAGCAATGTATAAATAAAGCTCCATAGTAATTTAGTAGCTCAACAAAACAAACAAAGAGAACCCCACAACTGTTGTCTGTATCTCAGTGTGTCTTTATTTTCCTGTTTAGACACGATGTGCAGTTCTCACCCAGTGTACTATTGGTCCCCTGATTGAAGCTTCATAGATTTATTTTTTTAGGGCAGGATTTATTGTAGTTTTGCAAGTTCAGTGCAGAAATCAGACTAACAAATTGGTGGATACAGGGAGAATGTAAATAATAATTTAATAGTTGCTCATTTTTAACATAGAAAGTACTCAAGTATTTGTCACTTTTATTTTGAAGTAACAGCAGTAGCTTTTGTTTATAGTAATTCTTGATTTAATGAAGACCACCAGTCTGCAATATTTGAGGATTTTTATTTTCTGGAGAAGTGCACAATATTGCCACAAGTAACAGAAGTTTTTTTGTTGTTGTTGTTTTCTTTTCTTTTTCTTTTCTAGTGATGATCACATCAAATTCTTTTGCTTTCAAGTCCTAGAACATCAAATTAAGTTCAAGTGAGTAGTCTTTCTTGATACCAACTATGTAAAGCTATTTAATTTCAATTTTTAACACTTTTTGCAAGGATATCAAATGGTACCTGTTATTCCTATCACTCCTGAGTAAAAGTACCTAGGACCTAGATTCTGCAAGACTAATGCAGAGCTCAGTGTAATTGGTTAGGTGCCTTTAAGCCTGCAGGACTTTTCTTTGCATTGCTTCATCTGTTCTTGGGAGGGGAGTAGTTGTTTATGAACTCATGGTCTACTCAACTAGTCCAACCTGTGCATGGCTCAACAGACACACTTACTGAGGATGATATTAAGCTTCCTTAACCCTTCCCCCTGTAATGTCTCTTCTTCTGCACTCTTGCCAATTTCTGCAGAAAAGAGGTTGAATTTTGCAAGTAGCATATTCAATACAGACTCTTAGACAAAGCTCTATTTATGCAAGAAGCATGGCAGAGATGTTGCCAGAAAGTTGTTTTCTTTTTTTCTTTTTTTTCTTTTTCATTGTGAAGTCTTTACTTAGTGTCCTAATTTTAGGGGAAAATTACTTTCTGTAGGTTTATTTGTCTGGCTTTACCTTATTGTCCTTCTCCCTCCGCTTGTTCCAAATTTGTCACTATTTCCTGTAGTGCTTTTTCCTTTTGTTTCATGCTTCTCATTTTCTTTCTCCTAGCATTTTAAGGTGGGATACTTTTTTTTTTCTTCTCTTTAACAAACAGAGGGGGAACACTGGGGCCATATTCAGCCATAGCAGTTGTTAAGGTCTGCCTTAGAGCCCTGAGCAGCTTGGGAGAATAATTGTAGGGCAAGTCTTGCTTCCTCTAATCCTAGGAAGGAACATGTGTGGGTAGTATCTGAAGTGGGCTGGTTATAACACTAAATTCTGCAAAAATTTACATGTATTATAAAGAAGGTATATATATCACCTAAATGCAAGTTCTTTACTTGTTTTTTTTTTTTTTTTCCTTTTCACTTATCTGTGTAATAAATGCACTGTACATATCTATGTGAAGGAATTGTCTTGTGCTTAACATTGGTAGAATAGTTGAAGAATGTACTAAGCACACTTAGGTATATAGAAATGTCTTTTCTCTCTCCCTATGAGTTATCGTCAAATGTATGCATTTTTTTAGGGTAATAAGTTATGTCGCTGATACTGAGGCAGCCTTTCTGCATAGCTTCAAGTTCCTACTCCAGGACAGAACGCACTAACGCCTCAATGTGATTCATTATTGCAGGCAATATCTTTCCTTATTCTCTTTGCAAGACTTTCATTCAGAACTGTAACATGCAAATAGTTTTGTAAGTATCTGTTCTAGAAACCTTTCATCTACACTGTTCTTCAGTACAAATTAAAGTAGCCTTCTGGCATGTTACAGGAGACATGAGGCAAAGACATATTTTGATCTTGTTACACTTTGTTTCAGATACTCTGAACTTACTGAAGTCCAGCAGCAGCTAATAAGGGAAACACTCATAACATGGCTGCAAGCCCAGGTAAGTATGTTCCTCCACAGCAGCCTTATGTTAGTAGGCAAGCATGATGTGCTGAGTACAGAGGAAGTGTCCAGCCTGTAACCTGAATTGAAATGGCACTCCCTGAAAAGATACAGTGTCAGATTGTGAAAAGCTTTGAACATGCTAATTTTCATTAGAAGTTCTTTAAATTATTTGTTGCAAAGAAGTCCATGCTTGAACTTTTTGTTAACAAATATAAAACATTTACATCAGGTCATGATGGATTGTTAATGGTTGTATGCCAAATCTGGAGTATTAAAAGTTTACCTTTAGAGAGATATAACCCAGATTCCTAATGTTCCTGGGTCTGAATAGGAGCAGTAACTGGTTTTAGACAAACACCTATCTATTAGAGTACTAGCAGATGCTCATAAATGAACAGGAAGACTACTCAGACCATGCATCTATTAATATTATAGTAGCATGATGACTACTTTTGTGTGAGCATGGGACCAATAAATTTCCTTAGTTAGCCATTATTTAGCCCAACTGGAAATATGTAATCTTGTTGGTCATTATTTGAAAATCAGTTTGAAATGCATTAAAACTGTTTTTAATTTCTTTTTATGGCAAACTGACCCACTTAGTGGGAGTTTATAGAAAAAGGAGGGAGAGAAATTGTTAGAATGACAGATTCCTCCTTTCTTTGATAAGCTGAGATTATCAGTGCATCTCGATGATTTTAAGGCTAATGTTTAACTCGGGCAGAAGTTAACCACAAGAAGCCCTTATCTTGATTCTAGTTGTTGTTTATTCCTTGCACCAACTTAAAAAAAACTTGCTGTTATTATTTAAATAATGCTTGTAATGTCTTACTATTGAATAAGACTTCTGTATCATCCAGAGATAATGTCCCCAATTCTGCTAAGTTTTCTTCAGAGTCATTGTAAAGATGAGGCTTTTTTAATATCTTGGTCAATAAGAGAGAAAGGATGAAATATATTATTCAGTGTAGAGAAATCAACAAGCATAAACGATACTTCTCTAGTCTTATAAATACAAATATTTTGTTTTTTACCAGATGCTGAATCCCCAGCCTGAGAAGACTTTTATTCGCAACAAAGCAGCACAAGTCTTTGCATTGCTTTTTGTTACTGAATATCTCACCAAATGGCCCAAGTTCTTTTTTGATATTCTATCAGTAGTTGACCTTAATCCACGAGGAGTGGATATGTACCTCAGAATCCTGATGGCTGTTGATGCTGAGCTGGTAGACCGTGATGTTGTTCATACATCAGAGGCAAGTTGCAACGCTGCATTATCACTTTCTTTAAAGTTCAGAAGAATTCTCTAGTTTAATTAGGGCAAAAGACTTGCAGATTTTTTTTTCCTCCCTATGGCAAATCTACCTTAGAGACGTTACGTAGTCTAGGTCCAAGAACCATCTTCAGGTTAATGTTCTTCATGGTTTCATACTTATCAGTTAATAAATATATATATTTTTTGCTTGAAGAGCTCTTGCAGCCCACAGAGAAGACCTAGCGGCAAAAACTAATGGATTGAATTAGACAATTTAATGTTAGAATGACTCATTTTAAGATGTAAATTTCCACTAGCACATTTTTTTAAGGAGCCTTAACATCAGAAATCTATTTGGTGATCTAAAAGACTTCTTTTCTCTTTGTCAGCCTTTCTTCAGTGTTTGGGCATTATGGGCACAAAAGTAAATAAAGAGAAATGTAGGGTATTGATTGCATTGCCTTTCAAGAAGGTGTAATCTGCTCTTCTGGAGTTTCTGTCCTCAGAGTTATTTATCTTGTTTGAACCAGCATTATCTGAGAGAAGATGTGAAAATGCTGCTAGCTAATATTTTTCTATGACATGATTAATTTATCCTTTTACTGTATTGATAGGAGGCTCGTAGGAACACCCTATTAAAAGATACTATGAGGGAACAGTGCATTCCAAGTTTGGTGGAGTCGTGGTACCAAATCCTACAAAATTATCAGTATAATAACTCAGAGTTGACATGCCAGTGCCTTGAAGTTGTTGGAGCGTATGTATCTTGGATAGATTTGAGCCTGATAGCCAATGAAAGGTAGGAGTTTCTTTTGTAAATATTTTTTTTTGTTATTTTTGTAAAAATAACCTTCATAGCATGCTGATTGTATTTCTGTGGCATTACATTAAAAATGGTCTTTAAATAAAGACGTTCATTCATTCATACATTCAGCAACATTCATGCTTGTTTCTTAATAAAGCATTTGACTTTCCAAGCTGATATATGGCTGAAAAGTTTGGCAGATTCTCTGTGAAATGTATAAAATGCTGGTTTTAGTCAGTGCAGTAGAATTATTTTTTTAAAAAAAGAAAGCAAGCTGTAAATATGCAAACAATTAATACAAAGTTTCTATATGATGCTATTGTGTTTGAGTATATACGTATATTTTATTTTTTTTTTCCAGGTTTATAAATATGCTGCTAGGTCACATGTCTGTGGAAGTTCTCCGGGAAGAAGCATGTGATTGTTTGTTTGAAATTGTAAATAAGGGAATGGACCCAGTTGATAAAACAAAACTGGTTGAATCTTTGTGTCAAGTATTGCAGTCTGCTGGCCTCTTCAGTATTGATCAGGTTTGTAAATTGATTTCGAATAACAGTGGCTCAGTTCTTAAGCAGATAAGCATAAAACTAAAAAATAAGTCTATGTAAGCAGGGGAGAATTGTCTGTGCCTCTGCACTGATGCTAAACATGTTATTCTTTTAAAATATAATGAGTTTTCACTTGTTTTGTCCTAAGTTTGTTTTTCTTGAATCAAGGTATTTTCCTAATACAAACCCATCACTTCTCCTTTCCTCTGCTAAACTGTACTGCGTTACTGTTTGTTTCTTCAGTCTTTCAGTGCCTGGATTCCTCCCTTCTAAATGATTCTGTAGTAAGTACCAGTATTACAGCCAAGGCAAAGGCGTTTTAGAACGAGACCTTAGACCAGTTGTATATAATTAGGGCAGGGAGAAGACATTTAAGTGCATGTTTGCGCTGTTGGATGTGAAACTTGAAATTCTTACCTGTGAGCTGGGGAAATAGAGCTACCAGCCAAGACTCATTCCCTGGGCAGCTGTAGTGCATGAGAAGCAGCTGCTCATTTCCTGCTGTGGAGAAGGAGATATTAGTTCTTGTAAGGCTCCAGTTTTTCCAAGTGCAAGATAGTTTAGTTCTGCATTGTGAAGCCTTCTTCCAACCTGCATTGCATGCCTACCAGATTGGAGACTATGTATATTCATTAACTGAGAAATCACTCCTCTAACTTAACTTGGTGTCTCCAAGGAAGACTTGCTATTTCTGTGTTTGTGTACAGTTTTGGCAAGGGGCAAATCTTGTGTTGGGAATGGTTGTTCTAGCAACATTTCTCAATTCTAGTTAAGAGTATTTTGCCAATGCAAGCCCAAAGTACTTAATAATCACTCGCTCTTAATGGGATTACTGAAAATTTCTACTCACTCCTTATCATTCTCAGTATTTCCAAAGTGAACTGTGGCTGTTAAATCTTTAAAGTTTTCCCATGAAGTGTCTTTCCTTTTATCTACTGCACATTAAACTGTATATGTGCTTCCCCTAAAATGATTGTGCTTCCCCTAAAATGATGAACCTAATTCTTGCTGTAAAGTGAAGAGAGAAAATGACTAATCTAAAAAGATGAATCAGTCTGCTGTTACGATGGAAGGCAGCCAGCTGTAGCATTGCTTTAATTTTTTTCTCTGTTCCATAGGGAAAACAAGGCAATTTTACTATCCACCTAGGAGATAAATGTTGTTTTTACATTGCACTATTTACATATCAAGCACAGATGATGCTGTCTGTAAGTTCATGCCATTTAAATCTGAACTCTGCTGTTATTTTCACTCAAACTTATTTTGTTGCAGGAAGATGATGTGGATTTTCTGGCAAGATTTTCTAAGCTCATCAATGGGATGGGGCAAGCTTTAATAGCTAGTTGGACTAAACTGGTAAAAAATGGTGATATAAAGAGTGCTCAAGATACTCTGCAAGCTATTGAAGCAAAAGTGGCCCTAATGTTGCAGCTCCTGGTTCATGATGATGACGACATCTCATCTAATATCATTGGATTTTGCTATGACTACCTTCACATCCTGAAACAAGTAAATATGTCTGCCCTCATTTTAATGCAATTTTTTGACTTATTATTGACTTTGATTTCTTGGGAGTTTAAGAAAGCAATACTCTTTGTAAGCAGAGTACAAAGTAATCCTTTTACATTAATTAGTATTGAGTATCTTGATTGGCTGTGGGCATATCATCTATACAGCTTTTAGAAATCTAAAGGAATTGGGTTAAATCTTATGTTCCATGGAAAGAATGTTTGCAGATCATATGGCTATTAAAGGAAAACAAAGGTATTTTGCTATTAGGAAAAGAGTTACGATGCAAGAAATAACATTTGAAATTTGTGTTTATAGCTTTCTGCGCTTTCAGACCAACAAAAAGCTAATGTAGAGGTAAGAATTAAAACTTTATTTTGACTAGAGTCTTATTTCAAGAATGCATTGTGTAACATACATTTAGAGTATGTAGATTCTGAGTTCTACAGAGTAGAGTTTGAGATTGAACAGAGAAAGGATGAAATCTTCATTCCTGTTACAGGACTTAGCCAATAGTCCTTACTAAAGATGAAATTGCACCTCCCTGCTTGGATTGATCTAATGTCTTGTTGCTGCTGAAAAGGGAAGGTTTTACTTCTGTTCTCTTGAACACTGGTCCCAGCTGTTGTTCTGGGATCTGTTGCTGAACTAATTCAGCTTGTTAACCTGGCAAAAAAATAACCTTTCGAGGATGTTGCAGTGTTAAGAAATGTTAGTTATAGATAAGCTGACCTGGATCTTTAAAGCAGGATCGCAAGCAACCTGAGATTCCCTCTGCCTAATAAAGTCATCTTAATTGTTGTTCTTGGTGTGGAAGTGAACAGCACAGAATATGAGCAATGAATAAAGCCAGATAATCCTGCCCCAGACAGCACTCTGCTGTGTCATGTGTGCTGAGCGTCCGAGATAGCTTGTGTGCGTGCCTTGGATATAAAGCATTTGTTTTAATATGGACTGCTACATCCGCCGCATCTCTGAAAATGATAATTCAAATAGAATTAGCTTAAACTTTTGCAAATGTTTTAATACAAACTTTAGTATTTTCTTCACTGTGGGATTTTAATTGTTGCTTCTTATCACTTGCCTGCTTCTGCACTCATAGTTCTGTTATGTTTCTTTACCTTAGGCGATCATGTTGGCTGTTATGAAGAAGTTGACATATGATGAAGAATACAATTTTGAAAATGAGGTAGTCTGGTGTAAAAACGATCATACTAAAATGCAACTTAAATTTGCTCATAATTTAAAAAAATCAGTAGTTTGTACAGGCTAAGCATTTGAAGCTAAGGTCTGTGGGCTATTGCTTTTTTGTGTGGAAAGCTTTTTAACTTAAGGGCATGTCTGAATAGTACAAAATAATACGCTAAAGGGCTTTCTAAGCCAGTTCATTTGACAGATCAGTTACAGCTGCATTTCACAGTGAATTATTTCTAGGCAAATAGAGCTGTGCTGTTCGCTAAGCATAGCTGTTGAGCTGGATCCTTCAGAGGAATTTTTCAGGTTTCCATGCGTTGTTACTGTGTCATACAAAAGATATGCGAAATATATTCAGTTCTTGGAGGTGCTGCATGACAACATCTAGAGGAGGTCTAACTTCTATAAAAATAGCCTAAAGAGAAAGAAAGTCCTGATTTCACTTTTCTCAGATGCTTGTATTTCTGTCAGCCAGCAATAATAACTGAATATGTTCTGCAAACTTACTTTTTCTCCAAACTTTCAGAAAAGTATAGTCTAAAAAAATGATTTGGGCTGTATGCAGTCAATGATAAATGTTTTTGTCAGTTTAATTTTAAGACTAAATAGATACTGGGGAAGAACCTCTGTGTGAGGACAGAGTCAGTCTTCAAGAGCTGGGTCAGTAAGGTTTTGCCGAGAGCATTTTCTTTCGTTGATTTTTTGGCTTTTATCTTCAGTCTGAAAAGCTGTTATTTTTAGATGTGCTTCTGGATTGAACACAGACTTCAACATATCACTGAGTTATAACTAGACAATAAAGGAGTCTGCTATTGCATGTCAGGAGTGTCAGATGAGCCCTACAGAGTTTTCTGAGCTTGGTATAGTGTTTTCTTATGTATGTGTGTTTTTATTCTAGGTGCAGTTGTCTAAAACAGTTTTGGATGCATTTAAGTATGGAAATATGGGCTTTTCTGATGCATGACTCTTGCAGGGTGAAGATGAAGCAATGTTTGTGGAGTACAGAAAGCAGTTGAAACTATTACTGGACAGACTTGCTCAGGTCTCACCAGAATTACTGTTGGCATCTGTCCGCAGAGTTTTTAACACTACACTTCAGTAAGTTTTTTTGTTTGTTTTAATCCTATGTGAACACATTGTCCTTAGCTTGTTCGTTTTTTTTTTTTAACACCATCCTGGTTTGTACTGAACATAAGCCTGTTGTAGCAAAGAAAAGTCAATTGGTTGAATAGGCTTGTTATAACTTTATGATTAACCTGACTTTGTATTTTAAAAAAAAAAAAAAAAAAAGCTTTCTGTATGCAGTAATGAATGAGAATGTTGGGCTTTTCCTCCCTCTCTTTATTTTCTCCTGGAGATGCTTCTTGAACTATCATTTACCTACACAACAACAGTCACTTGGACAGATGCACTTGTTTACAGCTTAAAGGAATGCCTATGACACGTAGGAAGTAATTTTCTATGTTACTGCTAGCAGAGGAACAAATTTGGATGAAGGAAAAAAAGCAGCAGTGTTTTTGTAAAAAGGGACATAAAAATCCAACTTATGTTGTAAATAGATTAACATTATTACTAGGTTCCTAAAATTATTACTTGGTGCCTAACTAGAAGGGTGGTATATATGCAAATAGGAATAGTGTTGTCTGTGTCAGTGAACTGAAGCTGAACACAGTAAAGTAGGCTAGTTTTATACCTAATATAGGCATCTGGATAAAAGCATTCGAGTTAAAACTTGTAAAGAGAAATAACTACTGCTCTGATGGAAAAGAGCTACGTCTATGTATAAACTTTTCCAAAAGCATCCTGAAATATTGCCTAGGTCTCACAGTGTGTGTTTGCGTAATTAAAATCAAGCTGTCCTTTTATGCAGTGCAGCTGAAGAATATTTGGAAGAACACAGCAATATAATCACCTTGTAAAACTGATAATTTTTTTTCAAAAGTTACCATTGACTAATATGATCTTCCTATTCCTTGTTTAGGAATTGGCAGACTACGAGGTTTATGGAAGTAGAAGTAGCGATAAGACTACTCTATATGTTGGCTGAGGCTCTTCCTGTATCACATGGTGCTCATTTCTCTGGTGATGTTACAAAAGCTACAGCTTTGCAAGATATGATGAGAACAGTAAGTACACGTGAAGCTGGAGCTATTTAAAAGTGCTAGTAAAGACTAAAACATTCCAGTTTCCATTCATGTTAAGTATTGGTATGTCACCTAAATTGTATTTTAATCTTATAAATGGTTAAAGTGCTAACTTGTTCATATTTTTCTCTGTAGCTGGTGACTTCTGGTGTTAGTGCCTACCAGCATACATCAGTGACCCTGGAATTCTTTGAAACAGTGGTTAGATATGAAAAATTCTTTGCTGTTGAACCTCAGCACATTCCAACTGTTCTAGTAAGTTTCATTTCATTTACTCTTGCAACTAGATAAGACTTTTCTTGAAACTAAGTAACTTTTTCTGAAAGTCATTAATGAGGCTGATTTTCTTATGTTGTTGAATAATTAGCTTTTTCAGCCCTTTTTTAGGGATTTTAAGACTTTAATACTTTCTTGATTGCAGATGGCATTTTTAGATCACCGTGGTCTTCGCCATACAAGTCCAAAAGTGCGAAGCAGAACAGCTTACCTCTTTTCCAGATTTGTCAAGTCTCTTAAGTGAGTAAAAACTGTTTTAAAAAAATAATAATAATTCAGATTGTGCAGAAGGGCTGTATGTGGTGAATTCAGTGAATTTCAGCTTCTTTGGGACAGGCTGAGCTTTAACTGCAATGAAATAATGAATCAAAATACATTTAAAAAATTCTAATGGAGATGTGCTATTTTAAAATACCAAGGTAGCACTGAAAAATAATTGTCATGAAGAACTTTAATGCATATATGTGGCTTATTTTTATTAGCTGTTAAGACTGAACAGGATAACTGTCCTACTTTTCCTCAGCTCAGTGAGCACAGTTGAGAGTATGCAGATCTGGAAAGTCACAGTAGTGACTCACCCTCCCAAGCCCAACCAAGTCCTGAATATTTAGAAAACTTCTACAGATGGAGTTTACTCAGTCTGTTACAGTTCGTCAAACAAATTCATCCTATTGATCTGATTTCACAGGCATGTGTTTGAATGTAGAGGCAGGAGAAACTGCAAGACTGTTCAGGTTTCAGAAGGGTTTTTTTTTCAAATATTAATTAAACTACTTTATTCAGATGAATGAGGCTGTTCATGCATGTTTTATAAAAGACTGAGAGAAAGAAAGAAAACCTGACTGATTTCCCACTGTGTCATATATCTGGCCTACCAAAAGCATCATATCCATAACCCAGGTATTTCTACAACACTGATTTTAAAAAGTATTAAAAAGTTAGCTTAGCAGCAAGCTTTACCACTTAAGGGAAATGCCAAGAATTCTGTAAAAGTGCATACAATTTTAAATACTGTTGCATGTTTATGTTTTACTTCAGTAAGCAAATGAATCCCTTTATTGAAGATGTTCTGAACCGAATACAAGACCTACTGGAACTTTCTCCTCCTGTGAGTATTTAAAGCATTTTTTTTTGCGTAGTTAAAACCTGCATTATTCATTAGAGTGCCAAAGTATTTATTGAATTGTAGGTTAAGTATGTTAACGTTTAAACACAATTTTCATGCTTTTCTGGTATGAGACCACTTGCATGAATCTATTTATACCCAATTTAAATAACATTCCTTACTGGAGTTTTTGGGAGTGTATGCTAGCAGTGGGTGTATAGATCTTCATCCTTATGAATTGTATAGAAATACTTCTTAAAAACAATTTTCATGCTTTTCTGGTATGAGATCGCTTGCATGAATCTATTTGTACCCAATTTAAATAACATTGCTTACTGGAGTTTTGGGGAGTGTATGCTAGCAGTGGGTATATAGATCTTCATCCTTATGAACTGTATAGAATACTTATTCTTATGTCTTAACAGTTTGTTTTC